ATGCAAGAGTAACACAGGAAGGGATACAGGAACCTTCCTTGCACCATCAGGCCACTTTGCCTGAAGCCTGTCCTGGGTTGATCTCTGTCAGTGGTGATGGTGTGGCTTGGGCACTGAGCCTGTTAAGGCTTCGGCATCTGTGTTGGCATTGCTCAGTGCGGTAAAAGCTTCAGAAACACCTTGTGGCCACAGAAGGTGGGAGTGAGGCCATGAAACTCACTTTGCACAGGTTGGAGGAAGAGCCATTGGACCATAATGGTTTTGGGGCTACTACAAGTTTATAGATCTGAAATAGCAAGCTGGTACACAATACGCTTTGGAGACTGGAAATAAGAAGTACTCATACACTTTACCTACTCATACCTAACTACTTCATTAGGTATTTGATACTGTGTGAGCTTTCCACTGCTAAAATAGCACAATTTCCTGATGAAACTATTCCATTCAATATATGACAGATCTTTTACTATTCTGCTGTGAGGCAGTGCATAGGGGATAGCGGAAGCAGCACATCTTTGACAGCTATCCAGGATATTCCCCAAAAGATGACATGCTAAATCTTTCCATTCAAACTGTTTACTACTTCATTGCTACCCAAGTGGAAAGATCTTCCTCTAGAAAGATGAGCCATATAAGAAACAGCAATGACAGGAAAATAAGCTTGGCCAAGAAAGTGAAATAATTGTATAAGAACATTCTAGGATGTGTGCCCAATGGTCTTGAAGCTGTTTTGTGACTTACACATTCTGCTGTTATTTTGTGTTATGATTGTCTAGTGCATCTCATATTACTTCAGCTACTCTACCAGCACTCAGAAAACATTTTACAACCTGCACTGAATTTCATGTAATATTTTTTTCTGTATATTTTTCAGCCTTGGTGTAAATCCAGTTGCTGCCAGTAAACAAGCATTTGGAATAAATGTATCCATCCCTGGACAGAAATCCTCACACTGACATTTTCCAAACTGCAGTCTGATTCTAAGGCTTCTAGAACCATGCAGAATGCAATGTTTGCTTCAAAATTATGAGACAGCAGGTTGAGTTCATCAGCAATATTTCCAAAAGACTTTTTTTTTTCTTTTTTTTTCTTTTGGTGTTCACGTCCTTCTTATCATTCCAGGTATTCATTTTAATCTGGAGCTGGCTGTTTTCTCAGGATATTCTCCTGATCCCATCTCACTGTTCCAACTTTGACTACAAATTCTACTCTTGGGCAAAAGTACTGTGCCTCTGGCCACAGAGCCATGGCGTTCCTGAAGGATGATTTAATGTAAGATGAGTCAGCTGTGACGCCTCTCTCTGTGTTACAACAAACAATCTCCTTCTGAAAAGTCTAAAAAGTATTCTGTCTTCAGCTAGGGAGAATGTAGTAGAATCTACTAGCTCTGCTCTGGCATCATTCTTCAAGATGCAGAGCAGCTTTTTGTTGACCTGAAGAATTAAGTCTATTTCCTCATACTGACCGAGCATAAAAATGTGAGGAAATTCCAGATGGTGAGATTTAATCACACATACACACACACACACAAATGAAAAAGATAATACCAGAAAAAATGAATTGAATAATGGCACTTTTCAAAGCTCTGTGTTTCCCAAGGAAACCTCTGTTCCTCCTAACCAGTCACAATTTTGTCTCTACTTCTACATTGCATCCCCTTTCTAAAATGCCAAGTTGGTGACTTTATTTTTAACGATCAAATAATGAGTGGACCTTGGTGCTTTGGGATTAGGGTTTGGCTTACCTATGTAACTCTCAAAAACAGGATCTCAGCTCCTGGTTCCCATAAACACTTAAAAAAAAATCCACTCTTCATTTAATATGGCACGGAGTACAGCTCAGTCATTGGTGGTTTGCTCATAGCTGTGTTAAAAAATGCATTTTAAAAATGTTTGCAAAGACCATTTTCTACTTAAGAAAAAAAAAAGAATTAAATCAATGGCCTTTCCTTTCCCCCCTCCCCTCCCCTCCCCT